GGGGGCGCTCCCTCCCTTTCCTTGCCTGTCGGGCTGAATGTTTGCATAATGGTTTGGTATGGATTTTGGCCATTTTCTTTTTTAATATTGGTGTGGGGGTTCCCCTCAAAATCCATACCAGATCTGAAGGGCCTGGTAAAGATTGAGGTAGAAGGGGCAACGCTTTTTTTTTTTATTCTTTTTTTAATGCTGGCATTTATTTGTTTAAATTTTGCTGTCAATGGGGAAACCTTCTGACAGTAGATGAGTCATGGTTGTTAAGGATGGCGTGGCCGCCCGCTTAACAACCAGCTATTCTCAATATGCAAAACGAATGCCGATACGAAAAATCTTCCAAAACACAAAAAATGAATTGGTCCAACATAATATTGACTATTGCAGGGCTTAACAAATCCCAAGCACAAGGTCGCCATGGTTACTAGAAATTGCGTCCTGGCGCCTTGGTCCACACACTGCTTTCCACTGACTTAAAGGCAATATTTGTGTCCCAGTGCAAAATCGCGTCTCATTGACTTTAATCCAAAAACATTCCAATTGACTTCAGTGCAAAACCATGTCTCATTGTCTTCAGTGCAACAATGCCCCCTAATTGACTTCAATGCAAAATTGCTTCCCATTGCCTTTCAATGCAAAATTATGTCCCTTTGATGGGCACTGATACAAAGCATTGATGGGTACTATTTGCCGCACTGATGGGGCTACACCAATCATCAGGGCACTGATGATCGGTGTGGATGTCCCCTCTGAGAAATGCCACTGACAGGCTCTCCTCTCCTCACGTGCTGTCAGCTTGAGGAGAGGATTGCCGATAACTGGAATTTCCTATTTACACTGTGATCAATTGTGATTGAACACAGCTGATCACATGTTAAAAGGCTACTCTTATTGGCCCTTTACTTGGCCATGTGATCAGCTGTGTCTGCAGGACACAACAATCACAGATCACACTGGGTGCACACCCCAGAGGGCGCAGTTCTGGGAGGAAGTCCATGGACGCCCTCCCAGAAATAGCCGGCCACACTGTAGCCATCTTATGGCTATAGCGTGGTTGGGAACTGGTTAAATCCTGTTTTGAAAAGTGTTGAAATTGTCTCTAATACTACTGTATATGATAAATCTCTGAATATACCTTTTATACATTTATTTTTCATATTTGTTCTTGCTAATATTGTGAAGGGTTGATAGGCCCAAAGCTATCTGATGGCAGTTTGGAGTTTAAAGGGTTAGTTGCTTAGGTAACGTAACCCAGTGACAACTACGCTCAAGCTGTTGGCACCTAGATTGGGGTTCTGATAGCTGGAAAATCTTTGTGCAGGGTGCAGCTGAGAATGGCATTGTTACAGTGCCTTGAAAAAGTATTCATACCCCTTGAAATTTTCCACATTTTGTCATGTTACAACCAAACACGTAAATGTATTTTATTGGGATTTTATGTGATAGACCTACACAAAGTGGCACATAATTGTGAAGTGGAAGGAAAATGATAAATGGTTTTCAAAATCTATTACAAATAAATACCTGAAAAGTGTGGTGTGCATTTGTGTTCAGCCCCCTTTGCTGTGATACCCCTAACTAAAATCTAGTGGAATCAATTGCCTTCAGAAGTCACCTAATAAGTAAATAAAGTCCACCTGTGTGTAGTTTAACTTCAGTATAAATACAGCTGTTCTGTGAAGCCCTCATAGGTTTGTTAGAGAACATCAGTGAACAAACAGCATTATGAAGGCCAAAGGAACACACCAGATAGGTCAGGAATAAAGTTGTGAAGAAGTTTAGAGCAGTGTTAGGTTACAAAAAAAATCCCAAGCTTTGAATATCTCACGGAGCACTGTTCAATCCATCATTTGAAAATGGAAAGAGTATGGCACATCTGCAAACCTAGCAAGACATGGTTGTCCACCTAAACTCACAGGCTGGGCAAGGAAAGCATTAATCAGAGAAGCAGCCAAGAGGTCCATGGTAACTCTGGAGGAGCTGCAGAGATCCACAGCTCAGGTGGGAGAATCTGTCCACAGGACAACTATTAGTCGTGCACTCCACAAATCTGGCCTTTATTAAAGAGTGGCAAGAAGAAAACCATTGTTAAAAGAAAGTCGTAAGAAGTCCTGTTTGCAAGAATCCATGTGGCAGACACAGCAAACATGTGGAAGAAGGTGCTCTGGTCAGATGAGACCAAAATTGAACTTTTTGGCCTAAAAGCAAAACGCTATGTTTGGCGAAAAACTAACACTGCATATCGCCCTGAACACACCATCTGCACCGTGAAACGTGGTGGCAGCATCATGTTGTTGGGATGCTTTTGTTCAGCAGGGACAGGAAAGCTGGTCAGAGTTGATGGGAAGATAGATGGAGCCAAATACAGGGCAATCTTAGACGAAAACCAGTTTGAGGCTGCAAGACTTGAGACTGGGGTGGTAGGTTCACTAATGTTCTCCAACAAACCTCTGAGGACTTCACAGAACAGCTGTATTTATACTGAGATTAAATTACACACAGGTGGACTTTTACTAATTACTAATTAGGTGACTTCTGAAAGCAATTGATTCCACTAGATTTTAGTTAGGGGTATCAGAACAAAGGGGGCTGAATATAAATGCACGCCACACTTTTCAGATATTTGTAAAAACTTTTGAAAACCATTAATCATTTTCCTGACACTTCACAATTATGTGCCACTCTGTGTTTGTCTATCACATAAAATCTCAATAAATCTTAATAGCATATAATTTACATTTTTGGTTGTAGCATGAAAAAATGTGGAAAATTTAAATGGGTATAAATACTTTTTCATGGCACTGTACATTAATGACAGCGTGGTGTGAGATTGGCTGATCCTTTGTCACAAGTTGGTGAGAAGACCAGGGGTCGGACACCAGGTTTCATCACATGAGGTTCCTTTTAAAATCTGTACCAGACCTGAAGGGCTTGGTATGGATTGGGAGGGACCCCCTACGCTGCTTTTTTTAACATCGTCATTTGTTTATATTCCGCTGACAGCAGATGAATCAAGGTTGTTAAGGATGCTGTGGCCGGTAGCCCACTCCTTAACAATCAGCTATTAAGTAAAATCGGATCATTCGTTTCATTCAGATGCTTAAAATGCTGCTGTTGTAATATGGAAATTCGAATGCATCTGAAATAACAAAAAGTTAGGCTGAATTTTGATTCGGAAAAAAAAGAACCATACATCTATTAATATCAGAAACTGGCGATAAAGAGATACTGTCATCTTGCCCATGTATTGTCTCTGCAAAGGGTATATACTGATTCTCCCTATATACTACCTGTCTGCTTGCAGCATCTTACTCCTCTGCAGTTGACACGGTAACTGGCTGTGTTGGTCTATGGCAGCGATGATGCAACTTCTCCTGTCATGTGACATTTCCTGAACCTAGCGATTGGCTTAAGGGCATCTACTGAACTTCCTATACTCACCTTACATGTGCGTTTTTATCTCTTGCCTCTCTGCAACCGGTACTGAAATAGTCTGTTTTGGTGATATATGGGAATGAAGATGTAACTTTCTCCTTTCAGTGACATTGCCCATACCTAGCAATTGGCTGCTAGGGCTAGAAACCATCATAGGGGAGTAGGTCACAGGCTCACCCAAAACCAAACGCACCAGGTATTCTTGCTAGCTACGGAGGACCAAGGTGCTTCGAGGATGGACACGAAAGAGAGGAGTACAAGCGCTTCTGTAAGATCTGAGACCTAGACTCTATTGCTTGACTGTAGGTTTGAATTGCAGGTTGTTAGGTACAGTCTTTCACTAAATGAGGTGAGGCACTGAGAAGTCTGTGGTGAGGTTATGAAGTTCAATATTGCCCAAGCCTCAAGGGAGGATAAGATCTGGGTTGCAGCTGTTTACCATCACAGAATGTAGGGTAGTGTCAGGAATGGACTGGCCAGCAATAGTGGGACTCAGCTGCCTTATGAGCTGCAGTACCAGGGCTGGCCAGCGGGTGCTCCCAGCAATCAGAGACTCAACCTTGCAGCCAGTCAAACACCTGGAACTAATTATACTGGTGTATTTAAGGGACATTCAGACCTGCAGACTCTGCCTTGGTGTTGTGTTTCTCTTGGGCCCTGTATCCTGTTCCTGCTCTCTGTTCCTGTCTGATTCTCTGCTGACCCTGCTCTGATCCCTGGCTTGTCTGACCATTCTCCTCTGCCTGACCCTCTGTACCACGCTGCCCGCTACCTGCTGAACCTGGCCTGTGACCCCGACCATTCTCCGCTTGCTCCCCCTGTACCTTCCTGCCCGATTGATATTGACCCGGCCTGCCTGACGACGCTTGCATTGTATGTACTGTTATCTGTGGGTGGTTGGTTGGTTTGTTTGCACTGTGTTATGTTTTAGTATTGCACTGCGTTTATGTTTGTATGGTTAGTGTTAATAAATTACATTGTTTATAACATATCTGAAGTCTGCGTTTCCCTGCGTCAGTCACACACCTCTGGTCATACCCGGGAGCCCTGACAGGTAGAATGTGCAAATACTTGATCTATGCACATCTTCTAAAAATACCTTTTTCCCTGAAATTGACATAGTAAGAGATAAAAACCTAAGGCCATCATGCTACCGTCCTATTTCTGTTCTGGCCTTTCCACAGATCTGGGTTTGCCTAAATATGAAAAATGTGACATCAGATCTCATATTTCTGGAATATGACACCCGGAAAATGAGCTGCCAAGATATTAATTTGTCAATTTTCATTTGCCATACAATGACAACACCATAAGTGCATTTACAGAGTTCCCTTTAGTATTTACATTGGGTCCACATGGTACACATTTGTGTGGTTCTAAATATAGAATGTACCAAAAATAGGTCAAGAAAATCCATGTTGCGTTTTTTGCCATGCAGGTCTTGAAGCCTCCATGTAAATTGTACCACTTTAGTTTGTATAAAGCAGATATACGGAGTAAACATAATATACTAACATTTATTACCTGTTTTTGTTTTTCTCATATACATTCTGTTTCTATTGACTGCCTAGAAACTGAATCTGTGGGTAACGAAACCGAGACAGAATGGGAGAGAGATTACTGGAATGGGAACATATTGCCAATTCTTAAAGACCTGGAGGCAGCAGAGCAAGGTAGGAATGTTTCCTTTACCTCTCCAGTGTTCTAGTTGACAATAACATAATTTCAATCTCTTTATGTACATAGCTTCAGGATCAGGAATCTTAGTTTAAAGGAGAAGTTCACCTTTTCAGGCAGAATTTCACTTTTCATAATAAATAGAAGTGTTTTCCAATGCTGGCCCAGCCATCCCAATGTGCTTTTCTCTCACTTTCCTCATCCACAGGATGTTTATTTTTTGTCAGTTTGTCAGTGAGACTTTGAACGGATTTTCAGATTGCATAATTTCTTGTAGATGGTCTCTCAGCATTCATTTCCTGCAGGCCACTTCCCAGAAGCCTTCACTTCCTTGTTGCATCAGAGAAGAAGAAGTGATAGGGTTTGTTCGCCACTCTGGACCACACCTCCCTCATTACAATACTACCTTCCTCCCATCAGCTATGTAGTACAAGGGCCTGTGTGATTTGATACAAATGGAATAGATTGTTCAGGTGTGTCCTCTTTTTCCATAGTTCTAGTAAATTTAAAGGATATTGTACAGAGATTGTACAATCAGATTGCATATTGTTTGGACATCTTTATAAAAGTACATAGAAGGAAGTGGATGGAGACACTCACTTGTCAGGCCCCATTAACATCCCCATGTAGTTAGTTTTGGGTGTTTTGTAGTGTTTTCACTCATTATGCGTTGGGCAGCCCATTCACTTGAATGGGCTGCTATAGGCGCAATAGTCTCCCCAGAAAAGCTCCAGAACTTTTTTTGGAGTGGAGCACGGTACATTACTGAAGTTTTTGTTGCGTTTGCAGCACTTGAGGTGCCTTTAACATGTGAATGACAACACGAACACGATGCATATTTGCAGCGTGTTTCTGAAATGCATGGCAAAGCACGCATTTACTGTGCAGAATACCAACCATGTGAATGGAGCCTCTTTGTTCTGTGTAAATGCACCAGTTTCAGGCTCCATTCACACCTAGAGTAGTGGAAGCGCATGTTTCTTGGCTCGTTTTGCCAGTTCTCCTGTGGGCTGCGCTACACGTGGCAAAGTGGCTCATGGGACATTTTAGCGTGATGCGAGTTTCAAATTTTTTACTGCGCGTTTTGCTGCATTTGTCACTCCTTTTTTTTTTTTTTTTTTTTTCCATGTGGCAAAATGTGTGCTAGTGTTTGGTGTGCCTATCCAATCACTCTATATCCAATCAAGCAGGCCCTTGCATCACATTAAGGGTGTCTCATGGGCTGCATGCGGCCTGAACCTGTCTGAAGGGACACTGGGGTAGCCAGGCAAATGCATGTGGGGAGAAATCCCAGGGATGCTGTAAAAACAAATAGTTGATGGGTGAAGGGTGTGTACTAATGAGGTCAGAGCAGGATGTGTGTGCTAATGAGATCAGCTGGTAATCTACTTTTGGGGTCCTTCTGGCTCCTCTGTCTATATTTCAGGAATAGAAAAAGCTTTCTAATAAATTTACCAAAGGCTAAGGTAAGGCCTTGCTCCCCAGATCAAAGAGAGCTCGTATATTTTTCCACCTGAGGTACATTAATGGTATAATGGTGCATGGGGTAACTGGATTTTATATATAAAAAAAGTTTAACTTAGCCTTTAATGTCACTGTTTTTAGGTGCTGATGATGTGATATATTTATGTGCTTTCATTTCATTAACCCTTTATTACACTTGTGCTTTGATTAAGCACAGGAGGAAATCCGTCCAAAAGTTTGTCTTGCTATGTTGAAATATACAAGCACTAATATTAAACTGCTGATTCTAAATATAATCACCTTTAAAGTGGAACTTTAGATAAAAAATTAAATAAAGGTGAACAGGAAGGAACCTTTATGCAGAAGAGACATGCTTTGTCTCTTCTGCATTAAAGTTACCTACCTGCCTGTCAGTCCCTGTACAGTGAGCCGCGTAGGTGAAGCTCACTACACAAATCAAACAATGTCAAATATGACCGAACACCCAAGCATGTGCGGAAGTGACGTCATCTCCGCCTGGCCAAAGAAAGCAGCCAGTGATCGAGATGATGTCGGCGACCAGGTGGCGAGCTCTGGGAGGCTGCATTGCTGGATCCAGGGTTAGTATAGTTCTGCTTTAATTTTAGGGGATACTGTTAAAGCAGTATGAAACCCAAAAACAAATATGTATTATGTTGAAGTTTACCAATTCATAGATGTGGTGGCTAAATTAGTTTTCTTTTTTTAGGCTTCTCTTCTTTTATTTTCACTTTTTGATCTGTCTAGTATACCTGTTTTCTTGTACAGTACAGGATACAGGCATATTCTTTGACGACCAGGTTATCCAAAGTATGTTGCTTTCTTCAGGTGATAGGACACTGGACAGAACTGTAAGGACTCACATATTACCCCTCCCACTGACAGTTATTCTCAGTTTTTTACTAGTGTCCTTAGGCGATGATTTTTTTTATTTGCTGCTTACGTGTGGCTATATATTGCCAAAACAAAAGTATTGGGACACCCCTCCAAATCATTGGATTCAAGTGTTCCAATCACCTCCCAGGGCCACAGGTGTATAAAATAAAGCACCTAGTCATGCAAACTGCTTCTACAAACATTTGTGAAAGAATGGGTCGCTCTCAGGAGCTCAGTAAATTCAAGCATGGTACTGTGATAGGTTGCCACCTGTGCAAGAAGTCCATCCGTGAAAAATTTCCTTGCTACAAAATACTCCACGGTCAACTGTTAGTGGTATTATAACAAAGTGAAGGGAACTGGGAACAACAGCAACTCAGCCACGAAGTGGTAGGCCACGTAAAATGACAGAACAGGGTCAGCGCATGCTGAAGCGCACAGTGCGCAGAAGTTTCCAACTATCTGCAGAGTCAGCAGCTAAAGACCTCCAAACTTCATGTAGCTTTCAAATTAGCACAACAACAGTGCATAGAGAGCTTCATGGAATGGGTTTCCATGGCCCAGCAGCTGCATCCAAACCTTACATCACCAAGTGCAATGCAAAGCATTAGATGCAGTGGTGTAAAGCTCGCCATGACTGAACTCTAGAACAGTGGAGACGTGTTCTCTGGAGTGACTAATCACGTTTCTGTCTGGCAATCCAATGGACAAGTCCATGTTTGGTGGTTGCCAGGAGAATAGTACTTGCCTGACTGCATTATGCCAAGTGTAAAGTTTGGTGGAGGGGGGATTATGGTGTGGGGTTGTTTTTCAGGGGTTGGGTTTGGCCCCTTAGTTCAGCCCTCAACCCGATAGAACACCTTTGGGATGAATTAGAGCAGAGACTGCGAGCCAGGCCTTCTTGTCCAACATCAGAGCCTGAATTCACATATGCGCTTCTGGAAGAATGGTCAAACATTCCCATAGGCACACTCCTAAACTTTGTGAACAGTCTTCCTAGAAGAGTTGAAGCTGTTATAGCTGCAAAGGGTGGGCCGACTCAATATTGAACCCTACGGACTAAGACTGGGGTGTCATTAAAGTTTATTTGCGTGTAAAGGCAGGCTTCCCAATACTTTTGGCAATATAATGTGTATGTGTGTATATATATAATATATATATATATATATATATATATATATATATATATAAAATATGTGTGTGTATATATATACACCCTGTTCAAAATTATTATGCAAATGATATTTTTCTCATTTACCTAAATAATTGATGTAAATAACAGTCAGCATAATTCTCATGTTATCAACTATTAAGAGTACAATTCAAATTTTATTGAACAAACCTAATAACAGTATTTTTTTTAAACATAAAAAAACTTACAATGCACTGTTCCAAATTATTACGCACAGTAAGTTTCAAAACACTTTATAAGTTGTAAAGAACTGAAAATTGGCATTTGTTGTTTTGCAGCATATTTACTGAAATCAAAAGCTATTTCAATAAAACTTTTAACAATATTTTAACTTTTTAAACATTTTAACAGGTCACGTTACATTTTAACATAGGACCCCTTATTTGATAGCACCTTCACAAGTCTTGCATCCATTGAACTTGTGAATTTTTGGACAGTTTCTGCTTGAATTTGTTTGCAAGATGTCAGAATAGCCTCCCAGAGCTGCTGTTTGGATGTAAACTGCCTCCCACCCTCATAGATCTTTTGCTTGAGGATGCTCCAAAGATTCTCAATAGGATTGAGGTCAGGGGAAGATGGAGGCCACACCATGACTTTCTCTCCTTTTATCCCCATAGCAGCCATTGATGCAGAGGTATTCTTTGCAGCATGAGATGGTGCATTGTCATGCATGAAGATGATTTTATTACGGAAAGCATAGTTCTTCCTTCTGTACCAGGGAAGAAAGTAGTTAGTCATAAACTCCACATACTTTGCAGAGGTCATCTTTACACCTTTGGGGACCCTAAAGGGGCCGACCAGCTCTGTTCCCATGATTATGGCCCAAAACATGACTCCACCACCGCCTTGCTGATGTCGCAGCCTTGTTGGAACAGGGTGGCCGTCCACCAACCATCCACTACTACTCCCATCCATCTGGACCATCCAGGGTTGCACAGCACTCATCTGTGAACAGGATTGTTTGAAAATTAGTCTTCATGTATTTTTTCTGCCCAATGCAGCCGTTTCTGCTTGTGAGCATTGGTTAGTGGTGGCCGAATAGAAGGTTTATGCACAGTTGCAAGACTCTGGAGGACTCTACACCTTGATGTCCGTGGGACTCCAGAGGCACCAGCAGCTTCAAATATCTGTTTGCTGCTATGTAATGGTATTTTAGCAGCTGCTCTCTTGATCCGATGCATGGATCTGGCAGAAATCTTCCTCAATGTGCCTTTATCTGCACGAATCCGTCTGTGCTCTGAATCAGCCACAAATCTCTTAATAGTGAGATGATCACGCTTACGTTTTCATGAAATATCTAATGTTTTCATACCTCGTCCAAGGCATTGAACTATTTCACTCATTTCGGCAGCAGAGAGATCCTTTTTATTCCCCCATATTGCTTGAAAATGGTGCTCTGCTTAATAATGTGGAACACCCTCCTTTAGTAGTTTTTCCTTAAATTGG